AATGTATTCACACATTTTGTTATTATTAGATGGTAAACTTAGTTCCTGCGGCTCACAGTTAGATGACGTTAGTTGTAGGTGTAATTTATTTTGACATCTGAAACTGGCTGCATTTTAGAGGTTAGACATTTGTCAATAAAATTCAGTGCGAAGAGATTCATTTAAGCGAGCAGTGCTATTTTTTCTTTTGATTAAATATGGAACGTGATAAGTTGTTTTTTCGACATGTGCTGCTTCATTACTTTGACTTGAAAAAAACTGCAGCTGCAGCTCATAAATTGCTTTTCGAAGCTTATGGCAATTATGCTCCATCGGAAAGAACATGCCAAGTATGGTTTCAGCGATTTAAGAGTGGTGATTTTGATGTCAATGATAAAGAACGCTCAGGCCAACCGAAAAAGTTTGAAGACACCGATTTGCAGGCATTATTGGACGAAAACTCTACTCAAACGCTCCAAGAATTGTCTGCAGCATTAAATGTTACTCCGATGGCTGTTTCCAAACGTCTACATGCAATGGGAAAAATTCAAAAGGAGGGAAAATGGGTACCACACGAATTAACCGCAAATGCCATTGCGAATCGCTTAAACATCTCTATTTCTCTGCTCGCCAGGCAGAAAAAGAAGAGTTTTTTGTGGCGCATAGTGACTGGCGATGAAAAATGGATATACTTCGATAATCCTAAACGAAGAAAATCATGGGTAGACCCTGACCAACCATCGACATCCATACCAAAGAGAAATATTCATGACCACAAAGCAATGCTTTGCATTTGGTGGGATATGCACGGCGTCGTTTATTATGAGCTACTCAGACCGAACGAAAGTATCACGGGGGATCGATATCAATCACAATTAAACCGTCTGAATGAAGCATTGTTGGAAAAAAGGCCAGCAGTAGCCAGCAATCGACGTAAAGTCATGCTTTTGCACGACAACGCTCGACCACACGTTGCCAAAGCCGTCAAAGAAACACTGATGCAGCTCGAGTGGGAAGTTCTCCCGCACCCAGCGTATTCACCAGACTTAGCTCCTTCGGACTATTACTTGTTCCGGTCGATACAGCACGGCTTGGTGGATACACACTTCAGAAATTACGAGGATGTGCGAAAATGGATCGACGAATGTATTGTATCAAAAGACCAATCGTTCTATCGTCGCGGAATCTACGCGTTGCCCGAAAGATGGGAAAAATGTATAGCTAGCGAGGGAAAATACTTCGATTAATGTATTTTTTGTTTTTGATGTCGAAATAAATGAGTTTTTTAAACCAATAAACCGCAGGAACTAAATTTACCACCTAATAAAATAAATGCTCAAAAAACAAAAAACAGCGGTTTTCAATGCAACTTCCTAATAGAATAGTGTGACATTGGTACAAATCGCAGAGTTTTTGCTTATATAAAATATTTTTCATTTAATTCTCTCTCTCTCTCCGTTCCCCTCCCTTCCTCCTTCTCTCCCTCCCCTCACATATGTAAGCATATTTTAAAGAGTTCTAGGCACTAACATTATTGTATGATTTTTTAAAAAAAGTAATATTGCCCGAGTGTCGTGCGCTAAGACTGAAAGGCGTGAGACCCTTGCCGAAATCAGACAGATTTTGTCATTTCGAAATATTTTCATATGTTTTTGAGTATATTAAAGTATATTCTGAACAGTTTCGGGATTAGTAATGTATAACATAATATATATTGTATATTTCTTGAATTATTAATATAACATAAATAAATCTAGAAAGTTTTATATAGATATATTCAGAGAAATATACAGAAAATATTTTAAAATTACTAAAACTCAGATTTTGGCCAGCGTCTCATATCTTTCTAAGTGCGTGACGGTCGAATAATATTAATTTATTAAAAAATAGCACACTACTAGTGTCAAAAACTTTTTAAATAATGCTTTAATAAGATTAGAATTATATGAAAAATATTTTATATAATTCTAATAAATAAAAAATATAAATGAAAAATCTAAGATTTTTATCAATGTCTCATCCTGTCAGAATGTGCAGCGCTGGGGTGTAATAATAATTTGTTTAAAAATAATACAACAATTCTAGTACCTATAACTGTCTAGAAAAGTTTTTTGATATGCTTAAAATTGTACGTAAACTCTTTTAGAATAACTAGATTTCTGAGATTTCAATTAACGTCTCAATCAGTATGTTCGTTACTTTATTGTCACAAATCTTTATTTAACTGTAATTAATTTTTTATTTTTATACAGCAAAACTCTGAATAAAATTCTTGGAAAATTATGAATCTTGCAAAAAATAATCTGATATGACAGCAAAATTTGTTAAGAATAAACCTAGCGTTTCAGATTGTTCAAACTCAATTTTTTCGCTTCATTGAGCGGAATTATTTGTTTCAACCTTTCAGGAACTATATAATCATGAAAAAAAGGAAAATAGAATTCTGAATAGTTTGTCAGTTTCCACTAAACGAGAGGCCAGCTTCACATAATTAAGCAATATATATATATATATATATATATATATATATATATATATATATA